TAAGCAAAATATTTTTTCCTTTAAAATTGGAGCACAAGGTACATCTTAATAAATATGTTTATTTGAAGCATCATTTCATTAGTCATGGTTTTTAAATTTTTCATAAAAAAATTTAAAAATAAACCAGCCGTAACCCCTCTGAAGTGGAAGTTACACTGAACCAGTCATTTCATTTCTAGGTGCCTTGGTCTCTTTCACGCATAATTTGTAAAATGATAATAGCCCTTACTAGTATTTACATTGTAAAAGTGTTGTTACTGTAAATTAGGTAGTCTAAAATGGGTTATGATGCCTTCTTTGAAAGACAAGCATTACACACAAATGAGGTATTATTACTTAGTTTTGCCTTTTCAAGCTCATTAAAGGAGAATTAGATGAAAACTCTGCTTTAAGCAATATTCAGCGGGTAAGTGACTATTGACTTGAGTGAAATGAAAAAAAATTCTTCGGCTGAAAGCTCAGTTTGTGCAGCCTAGCCTGTCTGTGCACGGGCAGAAACAGTGTATTTATATGTGATGTTTACCAGTGTTCTTTATCTCCTCTCTGTGCTCTAATCACAAACTGAAGACAGTTAAGCCTTTCAGTTCAGTCGCTGTATGCGTTTTGGAAAACCTAAGTAATCTGGAATGATTACAACTTAGAAATAATGTTTCCACGAATCAAGTCATGCTGCTAGCTTTCTTACTGATTTAGGGCCTAAATTAACTGTGCCAGGCCTTCACTTCCACTCCTGGTTCTTAGGATGGGGGACCTATTTCAGGTTAGTTACCACTAAGGCCTATGAGCACCTCATTAGCACCCCAACCAGGCCCAGGGCTTTCCTATCTTCTTCTTGGAATACAGGGATAGGATGGCAGGAGAAGGAGTGTTGTGGAAATAAGATTTGAAGAATTGTCGATATCAGAAATTTCATGTGAAGGTCTGAGATCTGAAACAGTACCCTGGGATTCAGGGTAACAGAGAGCTGGTGGTGATGGACCCATCTGTACAGCATCATTGTTTGTGGCCTCTGTGTGGTCTATTGACTCTAACCCATTTCTGGCCCCTGCTCTTGGATTCTGCCCGTCCCTCCCCTCTCATTCAAACCCCTTCAGGTGTCCGTCCATTAGGCCTTGACTCACCTTCACTTCCCAGGGCCAACGTTCAGCATTGCTTGCAGTTATAGTCATCCGCTTTCCACCTGACCCATTTATTTTGGCTTCTGGATTTTGCTCCTAGGGAGGCCCCCTGCTTGGATAGCTGCCTGGCCAGCTGCAGAGCCAGCTGTTTGTTCCAGACTCCAAGGTGACTACACTCCTCTCCTCTCCCTCTGACTGGTCCCGATACATAGGCCATGACAAGAAGTGAGAGATAGTGACGGTGTGACAAATGTGTCAGAACAGATTCATTCCTCTGTAGGTCATCTCACCAGTGGACTGCTCAGAGTTCAGGTGCACATTCACGCCTCACAGTGGGCCATGGACCAGGAAGTCTGTGTGGACCTCAGAGACCTAGGGACAGGGGCAGGTGCAGAGGAAGAGTTAGGAGGAGGACACAAAAGGCTGATTTGGTTTGTTCTGCAGTTTTGGCCAAGACCAGTACTGGTGTTTGGGCTGCCGTTCAACACACAGGCCATGTCCTTCAAGAGCATTGGCATGAGGTCAGCTGAGCTGACACACAGGTGGTAAGGGCCTAATGGCGGCCCACCTTCCTTAACCTTGGAAAGAAAGTTTAGGGATTATGTCTTCCACTTTCAAGGCAAATTTTTTGAAACAGGTGTCTGTGTCCATTGGTTCCATTTACTCCTCAACTCACTATGACCTGACTGCTGCCTCCCTGGACCCTGCTCCCTGCCAAACTGGTCAGATATCTCCATGGTTCTCACCCATGGGTGCTTCTTAGTCTTTTTCTTGCTTGATCTCTTGATAGCATTTGCCTTTGTGGACCACAGCCTACTCCTTGAAACATGCTTTTCCTTTGTTCTCTGGATACCTCATAATTCTTTTTCCCCTACCTCTCTGGCTATACCTTCTCACTCTTTTTTCCAGGGGTCCTTTCTCTGCTCATCTCATATAGCTTGGATATTTGTGTCCTCCAAACCTCATGTTGAAATTTCATCCCCAGCATTGGAGGTGGGGCCTGGTGAGAGGTGTCTGGATCGTGGGGGTTGATCCCTCATGAATGGCTTGGTGCCTTTCTTGCTGTAATGAGTGAGTTCTCGCCCTATTAGTTCACATGAACACTGATGTTTAAAAAGAGCAACACCTCCTCTTCTCACTCTTGCTCTGTCTCTGGCCATGTCATGTGACATACCTGGTGCCCTTCACCTTCTGCCGTGAGTAAAAGCTTCCTGAGACCTTACCAGAAGCAGATGTGACTGCCATGCTTCTTGTACAGCCTGAAGAACTGTGAGCCAAATAAACCTCTTTTCTTTAGAAATTACCCAGCTTCAGGCATTCCTTTTAAGCAACACAGAATGAACTAACACACCATCCTTTTTTTTTTTTTTTTTTTTTATTGGTAAGACAGAGTCTTGCTTTGTCACTTAGGCTGGAGGGCAGTGGCACGATCTCAGCTCACTGCAACCTCTGCCTCCCAGGTTCAAGCAGTTCTTCTGCCTCAGCCTCCCCAGTAGCTGGGACTACAGGCACCCGCCACCATGCCCAGCTAATTTTTCTGTTTGTATTTTTAGTAGAGATGGGGTTTCACCATGTTAGCCAGGATGGTCTCCATCTCCTGACCTCAGGATCCGCCCGCCTCAGCCTCCCCAAATGCTGGGATTACAGGCGTGAGCCACCGCACCGGACCCACACCATCCTTTATTTAAGCTTTGGTGTTATTCTGGCTTCTTTCTTTTTCTCTGCTCCTACACACCCTCCGAGGGCATCTCATTCATCGCTGTGAACTCTCTTGTCTGTCACGTACGCATGACTTCTAAACGCGTGTCCTCAGATTTCTAGATCAAACTACTTCCTGTTGCTCTGAGTGTTCCCCAGTCATCACAAAACAAGCACATCGAAAGTTGAACTCAGCACCTTCTCCCCAAAATCTCCTCAATTTCCTCTTCATATTTTTGCTGTCTTAGTGAATGATATCCACTATCCACCCAGTTGTCCAAGTCTTAAACCCGATCTCCAGTCCGGACTTTTCTGTCTTCAAAACTCCAACATGTAATCCATCATGACTTTCAGTAGATTCTATCTCCTCGAGAATGTGGCTTGTACATTTCTCATAATTTGGTGCTGCTCACCTTTCCAGTCTCATATCTGACCACTCTAAGACTCTCTAAACTACTTTTAGTACTCACATACTCAGCATGCATAATCATTCACATTCTTTCCAAAATCTGCGTACGTTGTGCCCTCCACCTGAAACAGACTTCCCCACCTCTTTATTTGGTTAACTCCTTCACACCTTCTAAGTGTCTGTGTACAAGTTACTAGCTTCCAATTTTCCCTAAATCTGGGTTAGGTGACCTCCTAGGGCTCTCAGTACTTCTCTCTTCATAACACGCTTCTTTATCACGGCTGACTTTCCTGTTTCTACCGTGCCCTCTCCTGTGAGGTTCCTGTAAGTGCTTACGGGGACCTTATTTTTTCTATCCACCTTTGTATTCCTAATGCCAATAAAGTATTTGGTATAAAAAACAAATGCTCAAGAAATGAATGAATGCGAATGTCAAAGGTATCATTGTGAAAATAGAAATTACATTTCTGGCTGGGTGTGGTGACTCACAACTGTAATCCCATCACTTTGGGAGGCTAAGGGTTGCCTTAGCCTTAGGCTGCAGGGTTGCTGCAGCCGAGGAGTTTGAGACCAGACTGGGCAACACAACAAGTCTCTCTCTACAAAAACAAAAAAAAGGCAGGGCACGGTGGCTCATGCCTGTAATCCCAACACTTTGGGAGGTCGAGGTGGGCACATCACCTGAGGTCAGGGGTTTGAAACCAGCCTGGCCAAAATGGTGAAACCCTGTCTCTACTAAAAATACAAAAAAAAAATCAGCCGGATGTGATGGTGTGTGCCTGTACTTCTAGCTACTCAGGAGGCTGAGGCAAGAGAATTACTTGAACCTGGGAGGCGGAGGTTGCAGTGAGCCAAGATCACACCACTGTACTTCAGCCGGGGTGATAGAGCAAGACTCCATCTCAAAAAAAAAGAAAAAAAGAAAAAATTAAAATAATAATAATAATAAAAAAAATTAACCAGGAGTGATGTGCACCTATAGTACCAGTTAATCAGGGGGCTGAGATGGGAGGATCACTTGAACCCAGGAGGTCGAGGCTGCACTGAGCTATGATAACACCACTGCACTCCAGCCTAGGCAACAGAGTGAGACCCCGTCTCAAAATAATAATAATAATAAATAAAATTTCCAATCGGAGAAAGCAATTAGTATTTTACTCAACAAAGATTTGTCCAGTCCCTCAAACATTAAAGGGATTTATTTAAACACTAAAACTATTGCTGGGCATGGTGGTGCACACCTGTAGTCCCAGCTACTTGGGAAGCTGAAGCAGGAGGATTCCATGAGCCCAGGAGATTGAGGCCAGCCCTTTTAAAAAAAAAAGATAACCCCATCTCTTTTTAAAAAAAGATAAAACAAATTTAGAAGAACTCATCAACATTAGAATTGCAAGCAGAGGGGGCTAGGTACAGTGGCCTATTGCCTGTAATCCCAGCACTTTGAGAGGTCAAGGTGGGTGGATCACTTGAGGTCAGGAGTTCAAGAACAGCCTGGCCAACACAGTGAAACCCCGCATCTACTGAAAAAAAAAATACAAAAATATTAGCTAGATGTGGCGGTGCACGCCTGTAATCCCAGCTACTCAGGAGGCTGAGGCACGAGAATCCCTTGAACCTCGGAGGCAGAGGTTGCAGTGAGCCGAGATTGCACCACCACACTCCAGCCCGGGAAACAGAGCAAGACTATGTCTCAAATTAAAAAAAAAAAAATTGCAAGCAGAGGGTAATTAATAGAGGTATACTTCACATCTGTCCCTTGTGGGCGTCTTTTCCAGAGTTCCATATCCAGACTCTCAAACCATGTTTTGGGATCATCCAAACATTCCGTCCTCCTGACTCCATAAACTATTGGATTCATAACCTGCTCCATACTTGAAAACATGGGGACTGGAATTCGGTAAGTGTTGATGTTTCATTTTTTCTCTGTTTAGTTGTCAACAATGGACCGTACCTGTAGAGTAATGCTTTTGTAATTCTCTCTGGAGTCTTCATCAGAAGATGTGACTGGACTCCTGACTAGTCTAGTTGTTTTCACATTGTTTGAATGTGCTATGTGTACCGAGAAATGTTGTGAAGTCTTCTGAGGAGTTCCATCCTTTCACATTTTCTCCTCTGTTTCATGAGTATTTAAATTCTTTGGGCACAGTGGCTCATGCCTGTAATCCCAGCACTATGGGAGGCCGAGGCGGGCAAATCACGAGGTCAGGAGTTCAAGACCAGCTGACCAACATGGTGAAACCCCATATTTACTAAAAATACAAAAAATTGCTGGGCGTGGTGGCAGGTGCCCGTAATCTCACTACTCAGGAGGTTGAGGCAGGAGAATCGCTTGAACCCAGGAGGCGGAAGTTGCAGTGAGCTGAGATCGCACCGCTGCATGCCAGCCCAGGCGACAGCATGAGACTCCATCTCAAAAAAAAAAAAAAAAAGAAATTCTTTATCATTGCTCTGTTGATTTTTTCCTAAAGTGACTTTACATAGAGAAAAGTGGATTTTCAGCTGGGTACAGTAGCTCACACCTGTAATCCCAGTGTTTTGGAAGGCCAAGGCAGGAGGATTGCTTGAGGCTGGAAATTCAAGATCAGCCTGGGCAACATAGCAAGACCCCATCTCTACAAATATTTAAAAATTATCTAGGACTACAGGTGGCATGTGCCTGTAGTCCCAGATACTTGGGAGGCTGAGGCAGGAGGATCACTTGAGCCCAGGAGTTCGAGGCTGCAGTGAGCCCTGATCACAACACTGTACTCTAGCCTAGGCAACAGAGCAAGACCTTATCTGAAAAAAATAAAAAATAAAAATAAAAGTGGATTTTGAGACTCAGAAAGACTTGCTCACCACCCATGGCCAGTTGAATAATGCAGGACATGAGTAGTTCAACCATACTCCAAAACCAACTCTGCTTTAGCCATACTGCCTATTGGCAACCCTATTCCATCCCCACTGTCAAATTTCTCTAGCTCCATAACTGCTTTTGTTTTTCTCTTTTTTTCTTTTTTTTTTGAGACCGAGTCTTGCTCTGTCACCCAGGCTGGAGTGCAGTGGCGTGATCTTGGCTCACTGACAACTCTGCCTCCTGGGTTCACGCCATTGTTCTCCCTCAGCCTCCCGAGTAGCTGAGACTACAGGCGCCTGCCACCACGCCCGGCTAATTTTTTTTTTTTTTTTTTTGTATTTTTAGTAGAGACAGGGTTTCACTGTGTTAGCCAGGATGGTCTCGCTCTCCTGACCTTCTAATCCACCCTCCTAGGGCTCCTAAAGTGCTGGGATTACAGGCATGCGCCACCGCGCCCGGCCTGCTTTTGTTTTTCATAACGCTTCTTTGTTTATTGTCTACCTCTCCTTCTAGAATGTAAGCATCATGAGGGCAGACAATTTTTTTGTTCAGCACTAGATGCTCAGCACTTGGAGTAGTAACTGGTACGCAGAAGACATTCAGTAGATATTTTTTGATTGAATGAATAATGTATTTTTTAAGTTTTTCTTTTTAATTTTTATACTTTTTAAAATAGAGATGAGGTTTTGCTATGTTACTCAGGCTGGTCTTGAACTCCTGGCCTCAAGCAATCCTCCTGCCTCAGACTCCCAAAGTGTTAGGGTTACAAGCATGAGCCACCACACCTGGCCCTTGTTTTTCTTTGTTTGTTTCTTTCTTTCAAGAGGTTGATGTGGGTCGGGCACAGTGGTTCACGCCTGTAATCTCAGCACTTTGGGAGGTTGAGGCGGGTGGATCACCTGAGGTCAGGAGTTCGAGAGCAGCCTGACCAACATGGAGAAACCCAGTGTTTACTAAAAATACAAAATTAGCCAGGTGTGGTGGCACATGCCTGTAATCCCAGCTACTCCGGAGGCTGAGGCAGGAGAATCGCTTGAACCCAGTAGGCAGAGGTTGCAGTGGGCCGAGATCGTGCCATTGCACTCCAGTCTGGGCAACAAGAGTGAAACTCCGTCCCCACCCCACCCCCGCCCCCACCACACACACACACACACACACACAAAGGGGCTAATGCACATTCGGATCTCTAGGGATCTAATGAAAGTCTGGTTTTTCCCTGAACACTTTTATCGATGACTAAGACAATAATACTGACGGCACGCTTAAAAAATTTACAGATGACACACACTAGAAAGAATAACAAATAGGTTGGAGGATACAATCAGATTCTCTCCCCGCCCCCAATCCTGACTAAATGTAATAATGAATCATATCAAACCATATAGAGTTTAATGGGTACCAATATAAAGTACTCAAAGATCCCCAAATTGAATTGTACAAGTACTGAGTGGGGGCGAGATGGCTTACAGCTACACACGGCAGGAAGATTTACAGTCTCCTGTTGATTGTAAGAAGATGATGAGTCAACACAGTGGGATGTAGCTTTTTTAAAAATCAATCTTTTGTTGTATTAATAGAAATGTAATGTTCCAGAGGGGAACTAGTTCTCTAGTACTCACCAACGATCAGACCACATTTATTGTGTTTTATGAATTCTGGGCTTCAGACATTCGGATACATTGATCAACAAAGGATTATATGAGAAAAATAAAAAGGATAATAAGAAGTCTGCTGCACAGAATTATTCAGAAATAACAAAAAGATCCAAGGTTGTATGTAGGTGTGTAAGGGGGGTGGTGAAAACTAGCATATGTAGCTACCTTTCAAAGTTTGAGGTCTAATCCGGCAGAGGAGAGATTTGATTTCTTCTGGACAATCCCAATGGCAGATTGAGGGCCAATGAGTGGAAGATGTAAGCATGTATATTTCAACCCATTAACACTGGTCAACTGCGAGATCCGCCTAGCAGCCAAATGACAACCATTGGAGGTAGTAAATTCCCTGACCCTGGGGCCCAGAAGCGGGGCAGTCATGCCCCATTCACTGGGTACATTTGTGACAGAAGTTCAAACACCCGAGTGAGGAAATGAGGAGAATAGATTTGTTTATAATAGCAAACACAGAGTGAGTGCGTACTGTATGGCAAGCGCCATAATATGTGATTAACGTGGTTGTCGTTTCTAATACATCAATCCCACTAGCTCATTTTACAGATGAGAAAGTGAGGCTTAGAGGGATTAAGCAATTTGTCCAAGAACTTACACCTTGGTACAAAGCAGATCTGGGATTTGAACCCAGGCAGTCAGATCGCAAACCTTAATTATTCTATAAGGACCCCAAGGTGGGTGTGGTGGTACACCTCTGTAGTCCAAGATACTGGGGAGGCTGAGGCAGGAGAATCACTAGAATTCAGGAGTTCAAGACTGCAGTGAGCTAGGATCATGCCACTGCACTCCAGCTTGGGCATCAGAGTGAGACCTTGTCTCTAAAATAAGTAAATCAAAATAAAAGTAAAGTATAAGGACTTTTACTTCTAGAAAGCCGTTCTTTCCCACCTTGAGATCCTATCACCCTAATGAAATAATCAAACCGAGGAGTTTATCTCAAAGGGTGGATGATTCTATAGTATGTAGGTTCCCTCTATATGTAATATGCAGGAACTGTATTAGTCTGGCCATTTGCCACTTGGGCATACTAGATGGAGCCCACCATAGGATCTGGCAGAGTAGGTGCTTGCTAATTATTTATTAAGTGAAAAGAATGAACAAATGCTACAAATACAACACCGGCGGGATCTGAAATGACAGAATCTCAATATATTGTGCCTGAAGAAAAGCACATTTCTGGGTCGTCTACTGAGGAGCCTCAGCAAAAGTGATAATCCATCATTCCCAGCAAAGGCCTTGAGAATTCCTGTGCAATTGTTTGAACGATATTCATTTAAACAAATATTTATTGAGTACCGGTCCTGTCCCAGGTATGTCCAATGTGTGAAGGGTGCAGAGGTGAATCGGAGGATGTGCTGTTGGTGGGGGAGAAGACTTGTGGGCAAATTCTTACAGTACCTTGCGACAAGTGCTATAGCAGTTGCATGTATGTTTTTTAAGTATGATGGAAGCAAAGAACAGAAAGGAACTAATTCTGCTAGGTTGAAGGAGTCATCTGATACTTGATTATATTTTATTTATTTATTTACTTACTTTTATTTATTATTCTTTTTTTTTTTTTTGAGATGGGATCTCCCTCCGTTGCCCAGGCTGGAGTGCAGTGGCTTGATCTCAGCAACCTCTGCCTCCTGGGTTCAAGTGATTCTCCTCCCTCAGCCTCCCAAGTAGCTGGGATTACAGGTGCCTGCCACCATGCCCAGCTATTTTTTGTTTGTTTGTTTTTAGTAGAGACGGGGTTTCACCATGTCAGGCTGGTCTCGAACTCCTGACCTCAGGTGATCCACCCGCCTCGACCTCCCAAAGGGCTGGGATTATAGGTGTGAGCCACTGCCCCCAGCCATTGATTATGTCTTAAAAATAGCTTCCACGTATGTGTTACTTGAGTTTATTCAGTCTTCATAAAGACCATGTGAGATCGTGACCCCTTCTTGTACAGAAGATGAAATAGAGTCTTACGGAGCTTAGTTGAGCTCCCCAGGGTCATATAGCTAGTAAAAATAATTGCCCACATTGATTGAGTGCTTAGAATATCTGCAACTCTGTTCTAAACCATCTTAAGACATTTAATCCTCTAAGGTAGTTATTGATATCATTGTCATTTTACAAATAAGAAAACCGAGTCACAAGATTTAAGAGTCTTGCCTATAGTCACATAGCTAGAAAGTGGAAAACCAGGATTTCCACCCACACTGTCTAACTTTAGCAGGCAGACACTGATCCACTGCACTAAATTGCCTTGTCTAGTCCCCCAAAGAGCTGGAACTGACACACTTGGACTCTGATTCCGAGTTCAGTTCTCTTTCAAGTGACCTTGCTCATTAGCAGATACTGCATCCAAATGAGAAGAAATGGTCATGTGGATACAAGGAGGCTTGTGTAGTACCTGCATCCATG